AAGAAGGAATTAGGAAGTGTTGTAGTGTGGGAGGGGGGTTTGTAGCAAATTTGTTTTAGAATATGTGGGCCAGTGGGGTGCAGTGTGAAGAGGAATGGGATGTGTTATTTAAAGTCGGGGGGGGGGGGGGGGGGGGGTGCGGTGTTCTTCCTAGTAGCTGGCCAATGCGTATGTGCCGCTGGATGGGGTCGAATTTTCACGACTGGATTGACTATTATGGGGTTGCATTTTTATAAGAAATACTTGAATGGTGTCGCACATTTTCAGGATTTCAGGGGTCAGAAAATTCATTTACGAAGGGATTTAAAAAAACAGAAAACATTTAGTTGAATAAATGCGTCACTTCTTTTCAGAATGACCAAGTTAAAAGGATTCAGAAGGTAGATACATAAACAGAAAGTGACCAAGCTGGGATTGCAAAAATCACTTTTTTCCTAAGGTGAATAAGATGGGGTATATAATTGGCCACAGAATAGACTATAATGGGGTAGTGGTTCTGAGAGGCCAGTGGCACATACCCAGCAAACATTAACCCAAGTAACCCCCGGATTAACAGGCTTCCTTAAGCGAGATTACTACATTACCTGTTTGAGTACAGAGTGTAGAGAAAACAAAAACAGAACGACTATCAAGAAGATAACTGTTCAGATTAAAAAAAAAAACATTTAATATGGAAGAAGAGCTTGTTAGTGAAATAGGCAACAAATTCCAAATTTTTGGTCCTCGATAAATGATAGTGAACTGCTTAATATTCTTTCTACACAATACTAAGCAGAAGATTGTGGTGTAAACGAATACATAAAACTAGCAATAGAAACCTTTGCAAGGTAACGGCTCAAGGTGTTCTTTCTCAAACAGTATCCACCTTATTCGTACAAGGCAAATGGTCAAATCACGGGGAGATCTATTTTTAAAATCTCACCTTCATCGCATCCCTGCTTCTTCTTCCTGTTTCTTGCCGCCATCAGTATTTGGGTCCTTTAAGTCGTCAACACGCTCAAAAACTGTTTTCAGCAAATTTCAGTTTCTTTCCTTTTTACCCTTGAATTACTCAGTCGTTAATTCAACTAACTGCTTTGACAAGATTTCTAACGGAAAACTGCGCGACACGTATGACGCAACAATGCCAATAGATGACGAATTTACAAAAGAGCACTCCGTCGCGCGCGCATCAAAATTCAGGTTCATTTTGACAATTGTAAAATCGACGCTGTAATAAGGTCTTTAAAAACCGACGTTTCGGCAATGCTGCCTTCTTCAGGGTACTGAACTATAGACCGTCAAAAAGTTCGTTAAATTAGCACACGTGCCCGATTACATATAGCGCGCGTGCCGGACGTGGCTGCGCGTGCCGGCGCACTAGTAGGCAAAAAAGTGCGTAATTCACGTTAAACTGAAATTCTCCTGGGCTTTTTCATTGCGCTTTTATTATTAAATTGTTAAGTAAACTCAATTAGGTCAGTATGACTGGTGAAATGGGGGCAAAAACAAATGCACCCTACATTGGCTTTAAACCAGCCTGAAGAGGTTCATGATTCTTTGCGTCGCTGGTAGAGGCATTGGTCAACGGAGAAATGAAGCTTAAAATTGAAGATAAGGCTGATCGGACAGCTAAGGGTTACGAATTTATTTGCCCAATCTTTCGACTAGACAAAACTAGTCTTCATCAGGGGCTAGAAAGGCTAATTGCCTTCAATTTTAAGTGTTATTTTATACTGCTGATACTGATCTACGACAAGATCCGGCTTTCCCTCGCAGCTGTTTGTCCAAGTTGTCCTTGCAAGAATTGTTCGCTGAGAAATGATGGTCTTTTTCACTGATAGCTGAAATCTAAATACAAAGAATTAACTGTTCGATGAAAAATTGATGGAATTTTTACGGACGGCTGCGAACTCGTCTAATTTTTAACCCTTGCCGCAATAACCGGAACGACCTGGGTCCAAGGGTACGGTCGGACATGACGTCACTCGTGACGCACGTGTGGAAACGCTGCATTTCGAACGAAGTGGAAAAAGTGCTTTATAATCTGGGATACATCGACAAATTGAAAAGCCGATTTTCTTGTTGTTTCTGTTAAGCAAGCTAGGCTATCAACGTTTCCTTAACCATGGGATTTCTCAAAGGTGTCTCTTGCAGAATTCCGTAGTGGTTTTTGCTTAGACCACATCTGTTGGTGTCGGACAACGGACAAAGCTCGGATGAATAACTGTTTGTTTACAGCCCAGGAATCGATGCTTGATTCATCATGGACGAATTTGAAACAATAAATCTTGACAGTAGAGAGTGCAAGATTTGTAAGCAAGAAACTGGAGAAGAACTGATTTCTTGTATTTTACACAATCAGTTTTCTACCGCGGAAAAGAACATCATTTTTTCGACCGACGACAGCGTTTCTTCAATCGAGGAAGGCGAACCTTCATTTGCTCATCGTGTTTGTTTGGAGAGATGGGACGCTGTGATGAAAAATACTTACTTTCCTCAGCCAAAGAAAACTTGGAAAGATCGACTCAAAGGTTTTATAACCACTGGATCTGCAAATAACAATGTTACAGAAACATGGACCCCAGTTGATTATAATGTTGGGCCAGCCTCGGACCAACCGATATTGGAATCCACTACAATGCCAGAAAAGGCAAGATCGCCCTATTCTGTTTTTAGCGGGAGCAAAGAAGCTTATCGAGTAGAAAATGTGGGGGAAAGAGACACTGAACGTGAGCACTGGCGAAGAAATAAGGTTCGCATCTGTTCTGTTGACTCAGAAGATGAAGTTGAAGAACGTGTTCTGTCGAGCAAAGGAATTGTTTTTCGTCGCACAAGGACGGAACGTGAGTACATAAGCTTATGTTTTATTTTTATGCGTCCTGACGCATTAAAGGCGTGAAATTAGCAACTTTCATCCAATTTGGCGTGACAGTTTGTCTTGAAAGTAGCTACTTGTAGCCAAACTTTAATAAATACATTATGGTAATAATTTTATAATGATATTTGCTACATTTTGCCAGCACGGCCGTCTTTTTAATTTGTATTCCACTCATCAGAATTCTTTTTGGGTCGTATTCCTCGTTCACCCCAATCGCAACCTCATAGTAACTAACACAGCAGCAATGAGGCAAGTGTAACAGAAACATAGCCTTATATGGGCCATAAATGTACTAATTTTTATTGTTATTTGCCATTCCATACTACTTTCAGAAATTTTGCTTATTTACATTGGTGCCATGTCAACTGCCTTAGTAACTTATTAATATCAGCAGATTGGTTTATACTGGCCCTTTCCTGTGAGTGTTTAAACATGTAGATCATGAAAATTCATGACTTCTCCTTGGCCAAATTGATCAACATTTTTTAAGATCTAAAATTTTTCTCTGTTATGGCATTCCCAGATTTGTAAAGTTGATCCTTGTGTTATATGATAACTGTGAATACACTATCACCAACAACAGAATTTTTGAGCTTTTTCACATTGCAGGGAGTAGCATTCCCAGCTAGATCCCCTCTTAAGTGAAAAAGGCCTCACAGTCACTTTTGGCACACTGCCTATTCCACCATCAGCATCCAATGAATAAAATATTGATTATCCTTTTGTACAGTAAATGCCTGCTTTAGTCCCAAGTGTTTTTATTGGTAATGGCAATGTCATGTTCATTATTATATGTTGTAGTCACTATCTGTCTTCTCATTGGCTAAGGGCCTACACCTAATTTTGGAAAGCAGCACGACCTACAGATTAGTTAGTTAGCTGCTAGCAGGTAACTGACTAATCTGTAGGTTTTGTGTGCAATGCATGACTTCCAATAATTATACCAATTCAGGTTCCTTGTGATGGTGTGTTTGTCATTATTTTTTTTCAAACATTTTGTGTAATAACATAATATTTTTGTGATATCCTAAATAATCAAGGTCTCTGTAAGTGTTATCATCCTCAGCCTTGGGTTCGGCCGATAACACTTACCTCGACCTTGATTATTCCAGATATCACAAAAACCTTATCCACTAAGTGTTTATTATTACGCTGGACAGCCTCTCTGATTGGTGTGATTATTATTTCAAGTGATTCCTAAAACATTTTTGTCTTTTCAGTGAATGAGTATGACATTGTCAAGTTGAAGGAGACTGTGGAGAATTTGAAGTTGCAGATAAATGGTTAGTGTCAGGATCTTGCTGGAAAAAATAAGAGAGAACAAGAGACTTTTTATATATTAAAGCTGATATATCTTACAGCACCTTAAGAGTAGAGCCTCCTTTTGCCTTCTTCTTGATCAGGGAGGAGAAAGCAAGACTCTGCCTGAATCTCTCCAAACCTTTGAAGTCACCGCAGGCCCAAACGTCTGGACCAGTCAGTCTTGTTTTCTGTCATCAAACTGATTTTTTTTTTGGTAGCAAGCATCTGTTTGTTGATAAGCTGATGGTCATATCCAAGCCCGCGCAGCTATTTGGCCTGGGTTTGAAACTGTATTCTAGCAAAATGCATGAACAGAGATCCTATTTGATGCATGATTAGTCTGTTTAGAGTACGCCAAAATCTAGCAAGTGAATGAAAGGTTCTGCTGACATTTTGATTTTTAAGCTAACCAGTGCTATCTTTTTTTTGTTTTCACCTATAAGCAAAGTCAGTTTACAAACATTTTTAACCTTTAACATGAAAATGATTGGTAATTCAGAGATTCAGAGATACTAACCCCTGAAAACGTAAATATAGACGAAATTTCTTTTGCAGTACACACCGCCGCCCCCCCCCCAATATATCAACCTAC